CTCCATAATCCTTTGGTAAAGTTTCCAATAATTTGGTGCACCCAGTTTTGAGAAAAGTTTTATAAATATTTTGACGTTTTATATATATATATAGAATGTCTCTTTCATATTACCTTAACGACCCTAAGATAAAAGAACCTAGTGGACTGAATAATTTGACACCGACAACACTTTTTGTAACAGAAACGCTTCGATTTATTATAAATTAGTAGCTGCAACTATTGATTAACAGGTGATCATTCTACATTTTTTGTATAACTTTTGTAGCAACGACAGCAATATTTCTAGTCAAGTTTTTTACTATTTCGAAATAAATACTATGTGGGCGTGGAAAATTGACTGTGATATTTTAGTAATGTTAATAAATGAAGTTCCTGTTTCTGGAAAACTATTGTAAAAATATAATTGCTCATTTTACTGTTACACTTCCAAAAAGTAAGAAAATATTGTAACTGGTATAGCGCGTTATAGCTTGAAATTGAAGTTAATTTTATTATAAAAAGTTCTCTTTTAACGATGAAAACTAGTTAAAAAAAATCGTTAATATAATTAAGTTTTTCTCTTCGTATATTCTTCAAATATCTGCTCATCAAAAATAAATGACTTCCCAAGTTTTTTCTCAATAATTTCTTTAGCTTAATGAGATGAAAATGGGGTAGGAAGAGTAACTTAATATAATGCACAACTCATTCTGAATTTACCAGCTGTGGATCCAAATTAGGTCAAAAAGCATAAAAACGAGGTAATACCTTGGACTAACAGGGAGGGATGTATTCTCCACTTTGATTTTCTATTTTGGTAATGGCAAGTAGTTGGAATTAATTTATGTACACTCGGTTTGAACGTTTATAGAATTAATGTACAATATATAATGTACATAACGGTATAAGGATGAAAGGATGACTACCCTGTATATAAAAAGAAAAAAAAAATCGACTCTATTTCTGGAAGAGCCAACGTAAAAATATCGGCGAATAAGGGAAACGGTTAGTTCGGTATACCTTACGTTTCCGAGCGATTGACCGAATGGTAGGGCAGAAATTGACTTTTCTTCTGGGAAGATTTTTTCCCGTTTACAAATTGAATACGTCGTTACGCCGGAGTGTTTGGCCGTAAAGGCAAATCGAGTGACACGAGGTGGCCCCTGTTTGCAGGGACAATATTTTCATCCCGCAAATAATTCCCATCTCGATAAAGAGCTTACAGGTGGCCGATCGAATCTGACCTAGAATAATTCCGTACGTCGATGGTTTATATTTTTTTTTTATAGATGCATACGACGATAAGGTGAAAATAATTGTTATTTTCCTTGTCAGGGTCAATCCAGCGTTGCCGCAAGTTTGAATTTTATTTTAGTAAACTTGCCAAGTTAAAAGACATCACCCCAGACCTCATGTTTCATCTTTTCTATCCTCTAACTCACGATTAGAGCAGATATCCACTCTGCTTGTTTTTCGTTGTCGAAATGTTTTCTAACGGCAGTAAAGGGGAATTTTGGAAGGTGAATCTCTTCGTTTCGTAACTAGGAAACGAATAGTCAGCAGGAAACTTAATTTCATTCAGGTTAAGGGGATGAAAACCGCATTTAAAGACCGACGAACAATAAAAACCGTCAGCTTAGGAGCGAAGTTTCAAATTCTTTAATACTTTTTATTTATACTCCATTAATGAGTTCAAAGGTTAATATTGAATAACAAGAAATTTTCCATGAAATAGTCCGGCCAAATTGTATGAACAGTGGTAACGTCTACACACCAAAAACCTATTTGGCGCTCCCGGCATACCATGAACTAGATCTCTTCCGTATTCAAGATATCACCCGATTACGTTTACCCCCGGTATCATTAATGACGGACGATTCTTCTGCTTCGAACCGTGCTTATTTTTCGGGCGGAAAAATCCGAACGGAAGAGACGTTTAAAAAGCCAATAAGCCACATTGAACCCATCCGTCGCCCCGGAATGAGGTTTCGTGACGAGTCCTTTCCTCTCGGGCTCCCGAAAGAGCTTTGGCCGGTGATAAAAAGAGCGACCCGGGAGAAAATCGCAGAAAAAGAGGGAGATTTCGGGGTTGGCCCTAAAGCGCGGGGATTTTTCATTTCGCCGAGCGCTAGCGGGCGCGGGATTAAAAAGTAATTCGGCGCGATCCCGGCGCGGCGTCGGGATCGCGAGGGGTCGGGCCCGAGTCCCGGGTCCCGGGTCCCGGGTCCCGGGTCCCGGGCCTCGGGCCGAGAGGGGCCGTTAATTCGGCGGGGCTCGGCCGGTGATTTTCCGCGGGCCGACGGGCGCGCGGACCTTCATTTCCGGGTTTTCTGCCGGTTTTATGGCGCGTCCCGGGCGCCCGCGGTTCAATTACGCAGCGGCAATCGACCACCGCAACTAAATAAAACCCCGAGAGACAGGGACAGAGACAGAGACGGACAGCAGTCCGGCCAAAAGAGGGCCGACAGTTCGAATGTTTGCCGCGGCCATTCGCCGGTGGACGCGCGCGTTCTCTCTGTCATTATATGCACAAAAGAGCAGCCCTTTCGGCGCCAGGAGGCCAAAAAGAATCCAAAGCCCGACAGGATTATCCTTTGATGGCGCTGATTGCGGGAAACGCCGCGCGAACCCCGCCATGGGGTTTTGGGAGCGAATATTGGAACGCATCGACCGATAACACCGAGCGGCGTCGATAGCGAGGTCCAATGGCGTTCATTGGATTCGACGAGCTTCGAAAGAGTCCGCTCCTTGCTGACCGCGTTTCCGCCCACCCGGCAATTTCGGAGCCCCTTCGTTTTGGAAAGATGCTTCCTGCGGAATTGGAGGTGCCAACGGAAAGGATAAAAGGCTCGGGTCTATTGTTCCTCGACCATTCTCGAAACTGGCTGAAATGTGGAATATTTACGGGGTAGGAAGAAAAGCATGGATGGGAATCTTTTTTCTTTTTTAAAGTTAGAATACCGACATGTATCTCGAGGGGGATTTCGAACATAATACGTTTTGCCGAGTTTCGGCCACGATACCGTTCGATGCGACGATGATTCGTATTTTCAAAACGTGCACGGAGTAGCTTTTGCGACGTCGGTCCCTGTTTGCTCCGATACGGTATATTCTTCCTCTTGCACCGATTTTGAATGCAGTTTTTTTCCCAGCGCAAAGGAGAACAGACGCAATTCTCGCGAAGGGAAGAGTGCAAGGACTTTACGTAAATTTTCCTACGTCGACGTTAGTCGTCCACTGAAATAAAGAGGAGGTAGTTTTGGATCGACCCACTTTTACAACGGAAATGCGAGGAGAAATCCCCCTAAAAAATACGCCACTCGCGTGGTTTACGAAATTCTTCCTCGTTATTCCGAAAGGTCTCTTAAGTTTTATTTCCGAAAAATTCGCACGTGTTTCTAAACCGCATAAAACAGGGAAAACTTCACGCAGAATAATAATATTGTAATCATTACATATGCTCGCGGGTCAAAGTAACATTGTAACCTTAACAACAATTATTGTAGATGTAATTACAATTTTTTGTCCTTTCAACCATTACGGCTGGAGCACCAAACGCAGAATTCTTGTAAATAAATTGCAGTTATATTTGCATCTGACAGTGTTACATATATAACATTGGAAAGTAAAAATTACACGTATAAAGGCACGGGTAAAAAACAATCGAGCTGACTGTAATATACACATGTCGCTATTGTATTTTCTAGATACCTCAATGGTAATAAATGCGTTGCTGCATGTTATTTTCTACATGTATCAAGAGTAAAGGGTATACTAGCGACCGTTATCATGTACACATGTTATGTGGTAACTATTGCTTCAGTTGACGAGTTTATGCGGTCACGATTGTAAATATAACTATTCGTATCGTTGTAACTGTAATCGTTCTTTGTAATAATGTGTACTAGAATGAAATTGTACATTATATTTCCCAGCGATTGCTGTTGTATCTATCCCAATTGTAGCGATTATAACAACTTTTTTCTCTCCGTGTTAAAGAAATTTAAAAGGCTTACCAGAGCTCGCGTTCCCGCCCGAGAGGCCTCCGACCGATCGCGTTAAATACCGGTAAGCGTCGAAGGCAAGGGTTAACAATAGAAAGGAGCCGACGTAACGTAAGATGTTGGAGCTTACGCGATTCGTCCCGCGGAGTGGCGGAAAGTCGCCGGCCGGGTCGTCCACGTTCGAGCGGCCGAGCCCCACGTGGAATCCCATCGGTCGGGACCCGAAGAAGATTTCGATCGGCACGAGCGCCGCGAAAGGTGTCAAACGCGTGGCAGATGACATGACATGAGACGTCGGGACGTCGCCGACGCCGTCGAGAATTACGCGAGGGCCGGCGTGCGGGCGCGCATGCGCGGGCCGGGGCCGGCGGCGCGGTCGCGCCCCCCGGCGGCGTCGCCGCGACGTCGCGGCGGCGTCGCGGCCGGCGGGGGCGCCGATTGGGCGTCCAGGGCGGCGCGCGCCGTCCCATTGGCCGGGCGGGGGTCGAGGGCGGGGCGACCGCGCGACGCTCCCCGGCGTTCCCGGGCGCTCCTGGGCGCGCGCTGGAAGGGAGTATTTGAACAAGAGTCCGCGGCTCAAGAGTACCGGGGTACACTCGCTAACCGGCCTCCATCCACCCTACACACAGAGAGAGAGAGAGAGGGAGCTCAAACAGCCGCAAATAACTACTCGGGCTCCGTGTGTTATATAGTTGTTGGGACAACAATTACCCCTATCGCAACGTCATCGACGGAGTGCGCGGCACGCATTGTTCGAAAACCGGGGGTCGCGGTCGGTGTTTGCGCCGCGGAATCGGCCCGCGGTCGACGGAGAGCGTCCTCGGCGAGTCGAGCGTCGGGAGAGTTCCGCGCGTCCCGGTCGGTGCGAGTGGCGGTCTCGGCGATCCCTCGGAGTGCACGGTGACTCGGTGAGCGGCCGGCCGGCCAGGGTGGCGGCGCGCGCCGCCGCGGCGGCGCGCTCGTCGTCGTCGGGGCCCGATGCCCCGGGCCTGACGGCGCGCGGCCCCTCGGCTCTATGACGATGCTGCAGTCCCAGAAGCTGTACGGCGAGGCGGGCGGCCTCGGGGGCGCCATGACGAGCGCCGCCATGTCGGGCATGGGAAGCATGGCGCCGACCTACAGCTCCATCAACTCCATGGGCTGCGTCTCCATGGGCATGTCGATGGGCGTCGGCGTGGGCCCGAGCTGCAGCCCGCAGGGCGCCGGCGGGTTCAACGTCGGCTCGATGAGCTCGGCCATGGGCATGGCGTCGATGGGTGGCGGGGCCATGGGGGGCTACGGGGGCGCCGCCATGGGTGGCGGCGGCGCCTGCATGAGCGCCGTCGGCTACGGCCCCTTGGCACCCGCGGGCGGCGCCGGCATCCGCGACCCGCTCGCTCTGGCGGAGCCCGACTCGCCGAACTCGGCCGTGCAGCGGGCTCGCACCGACAAGTCCTACCGCAGGAGCTACACCCACGCGAAGCCGCCCTACTCCTACATAAGCCTCATCACCATGGCCATCCAGAACGCACCCACTCGCCAGCTGACCCTCAGCGAGATCTACCAGTTCATCATGGACCTCTTCCCGTTTTACCGGCAGAATCAGCAGCGCTGGCAGAACTCGATTCGGCACTCGCTCAGCTTCAACGACTGCTTCGTCAAGGTGCCGCGCACCCCGGACAAGCCGGGCAAGGGCTCCTTCTGGACGCTCCACCCCGAGAGCGGCAACATGTTCGAGAACGGGTGCTACTTGAGGCGGCAGAAGAGGTTCAAGGACGAGAAGAAGGAGCTCAGCAGGCAGAGCAACAAGCACCAGCAGCACCACCCCGGGACCGGCCACGGCAGTCCCTCGGGTCACGAGCTGACCCACGGGAAGAAGGTCCACGGAGCCCTGCACCACGCGCCTCCGCAGCAGCAGCAGCAGCAGCAGCAGCAGCAGCAGCAGCAGCCGCAGCAGCAACCCCCGCAGCAGCAACAGCCGCCGCCGCCGCCGCAGGACGACAAGGACCTGCACTCGCTGGTCTCGTCCCACCATCACCACCACGCCTCGGCCAGCGCGGCCGTGGCCGCTGGCCTGCACCAGCACCACGCCGCGCTCAAGGGCGACGCCTCCGATATCGGGGGCCTCCTGGGGCCCGACCTGGGGGCCGCACAGGACGAGCTGGCAGCCATGATGAGCAGGGGCTTGCACCCGCATCTCCTGGCCGACCCCGCCGCTCTGCACCACGGGATGAGCGGAACCCTCAAGCAGGAGCCCCCCTACACCGCCGCCAGCCATCCCTTCAGCATCACGAGGCTACTCCCGGGTGCCACCGCCGCCACCTCCCCCGGAACCCAGGACACCAAGCCTCCGGAGCTTAAGATGTACGAGCAGCTGCATCAGAGCTACGCGAATTACGGATCCCCTCATCACCCGCACCACTCGGCGCCGCCCGGGCACCACCATCACAACGGCATGCACGGGAACGCCGGCGCCGCCGGGCCAATCCACAACATGGCCAACCACCACCAGGACTACTACCAGAGCCCCCTTTACCATCACGCGAGTGTCACCGCGTCGGGTGCGCCTCCGCCACCCCCGTCGTCGGCGGCCCCGGGATTGTGACACCACGCCACCCACCACTACGCCCTCGCCTGAGTCGCCGCGGCCGCCGCGGCGGCCGCCGCCCGCCCGTTGGGGACCCATCCGCGGCGTCCTGGCATCGACGAGGCCGCCGAGGGCGCCGAGGGCGCCGACGGCGTCGAGGCCGCCTGGGTGTGAACTCGGGACCCTGGGCCCTAGGCGCCTCTTCTCGAGATCGGCTCGCGGGATTTCCGTCGCTCCAGAATGTGGGGTTAGGACGCGGTTTCCGGAAAGTGCAGCACGCCGGGGCAAGGGTGTACACAGACTTTGGTGGTTTTTCGATTTTCTTCCGTTTACGAACTTTGATCGAGTATGCACAGAGTCGAGATCGGAACGTTTTTGTTGGTCAAGGGGAAAGAGGAGGGGCAGTCGATGCCCTCGGATGAGCCATCGTTCGCGAGTGTCGTGTTTCGTTGCGGTTTTAGGTGGGTGTTAGGTCTCTAATTGAGAAAGTGATTAAATTGCAGGTGGATTGGAGCGGGTCGATCGCGGAGGTAATTCTTCCAATGGAACTCTTTGGGGCTTGCGGCTGACGATCTTTCTGGGAATGCTCGGTGTTCTCTTTTCTCCGTAGAGCGATGTAATCCGGATACGCGTCTTGTGCTCGGATGTCCGGAGAAATGGACGAGGGGTAAATCCACCGGTCCCGCTGTAATCGGTTGACGGTCGTCGATGTAATTCGGTTCCCATGTAAATTAGCTATCGATATTATGGGACGGGGAAGAATGTAGTTTACAAATAAATTCCCATAAACTGCGAATTGAACTTATCACATTTTTCGTAGTTTAAATTGCAGTTGGTTGTTGATAAAACAAAAGTTGAACGGGAGCGACTCGTTAAAATCGCGGTGGCCCGATACCGTGTTGATAGCGAAGTACCGAAGTGAAGTTACCGTTTAATTACTTTATTCGCGGCCGTGACTCGATTACATATTGTTCGTCAATCGAATTACATTCTCCCCCGGTCGCATCTAGATCGCCTCGCGATTATTTCGATAAACTTGATCGTGAACTGCGGAAGAGATATCGAAGTTTGGAGATCGTGAGATATGTCGATGTCGGATAAGCGCTTCGGATAATGTCTCTCTCTTCCGCTCCGGCAAGATTGTCGAATTTCGAATCGTGAAATTCGTTAACCGGTCGGCCATGTCCTTCGAGCTGGTCCAAGAAGACGTAGTCGTCCGAGCTCTTCCGTGGTCCTGGAAACGGAGCGCTCCGACACCGCGAAGGACGAAATGGTGTAGGTTTAGACGAAGAACGAATATTGTGATAAACTGTGAAATTGAAGAATCAAACCCAATCGACGGACTAGCGCACGAATAAGGGGAATCGAAGCTGGGGAAAACTCTGCTTGGAACGATATTTTAAACGATTATTCGTTTCCTTAATTGGGGTCCATTCTTTTGGCAAAGCGTTCGGAGAACGCGAATTACTCCAATTACTCCAAAAAGTCTTTTTTTTTTTTCAGCCCAAAGCGGTTCCGTAAAATTTTCTGATCGATATATTTTAACACTAAACCTACCGACGATTTATAACCCCATTACAAATACCATTTAAAACTGTCAATTTGACCCGTAGGTTTAGTGTTAATAGGATTCATTGCGATTTTTTCTGTTAAAAATGCTCCTTTTTTTTACCTGAATTCTCGCAGGACGTTATCGGGAACTTACCCAGCTTCGAAATCGTGCACACGCTCGTGACCCGGTTGCAAGACACGCACCCCCGTTCCGCGCAACGCAACGGGCGTGGCGAAAAAAATCATGTGCAAAAAAGAAATCCGGTCGGTCGAATCCTAGTTGAACCTGCTTGGCGTAATTCTATCGAATGCCGATAATCGCGAATTTGAGGTGGCCAAAAAAGTTGGCATCAAATCACACGGGGACTCGGATTGGCCGCGGATGGCGGTAATTTTAACGCCGGATTTCTTTTTCTTTTTAACGTGCACAGACGCGCCCGTATCCGCGGCTTAGGGAATTTTATTTGTTCCGATGAAATGTCTCGCCGGGTCACGTCCAGTGTCCTTTTCTCTTTTCTTTTGTATGATACGTACGTGTAGATAGCCGGCACTAACCTAACGCGCATAATGTACAATATTATATGTTATACAGAGGTATATATATATATATAAATATAAATATATGTAGATATATAAATGGACTCTTTAACGATACGCTATATTAGGGTTAAAAATATCTATTAAGAGAGAGAGAATGAGAAAGAGCGGGACAGTCGTCGGAAATCTTTTATGTCGCGTGTTTCAAAAGTAAAGTCGCGGGCGATAACATAAAATGCACCGAACATCCTGCGCTTTTCTTTTTTTCTTTTCTTTACGGAGAAATTTGCAGTCCCGATTTTTAACGTAACTATTAAGGAGAGGACGTCATCTCGTCGGTGACTTATCCCGGCGGTGCTTTTGGAACACTCGATGCGTTATATAAATGTAAATAGCATCGACGACTAGCGTATTGTCGCGGTAGTTCGCTATAACTACTCTCATTGCCGTCGCCTACCCGACGATTTCGATTAGTCCTTGGCCCGACAGGCATTGTCGGCTTTTCTTAGAGCTCCACTTCTTTGGATCTCGTCTTTTTCGGAGACGCGAGCGGCCACGCGGAGGCTTTCGAGAACTCGCGAACGTCCACTTTTTCGTCGCTAAGCGGGCGAGGAGGTAGAAGGAACAAAAATGATATTTTGCAAATGGGTAAGAGCTCCTCGGAATCGCTTAATTTTTTTTCCATTTCTTCCGTCTCTCTCTCTCTCTCTCCGTCGTTTCGTCGTGTCGCCTCTCGGTGCGAATTTCCGGAAGCATTTCGTCCGCGCCGCTCGCGCTTTTATACTGGAGAATTCCTCGATTCCGTTCGTCCATTTCGAGCTGTCGTCTGTCCATGTTAACTCGCGGCAAGATCAGCGTTTAAGGAAATTTTACTATTAAAGGAGAAGACAACTAACGACGCCCTGACGATGTACATGTTCCAATAAACCTGCGTATTTCTACGAAAGTCGGAACCGAGTAGTTTTCTTCGTCCCCCGTTCTTCTCTATTAATCTTTCTTCGTTTCTCAATTTTTTCAGAAAATACCAAAACAAAAATATAAGAACAAGCAAATTTCAATGAACGGTCGCATTTTATTTTTCGTGTCTACAATTCTGGAATTGAAGCATCAAGTTGTTATGACATTGCTTTTCACTGTGAAATATTTAATATTCAGAGTTCGTATCTTTTCGATTCCTTAATAAATTAGCGGATGCTTGAATTGTACAATTCTTATTTCTAAGCGATTCGTTTTCATTTTGAGTTATTGAAAATGGAGAAATAATCAATCACCATTGGATACCAGATTTGCGGCGATTTAGCAACAACACGGAAAAAAAAAGAATGTTCAGGAAAACCACAATTGTGGTAATCCTAACAATTCCGGGACAATCTGGGTAGGCAGTTGAAGTAATCACCGTAGCGTAGGAAGGGTTACTCCACCATTTAATCAAGGTAACAGCAAGGATCGATGTTGTTTTACCGTGCTTATTATAGTCTCTTCATGTACTTTGTTCCTTTAATAAGTCACTCTGGTTGCGATAACCTCCTGGGAAGATTATCCCAACTGTGGTTTCGCTGAACGCTCTTTTTTTTTTCTCCGTAAAGTTTTTCACAAATTTCTCAGTTAAGGACTTGCGACTGTTTTCTTCCATTTAAGGTAGTATGAAAGTGTCATATATATATTTACGGAAACGTCAAAATGTTTATAAAACTTTTCTCCAAACAGGGTGTACCGAATAATTTTAAACTTCAGCATGTGATTATGGAAGCCCTAAGGAAGAACGCGACGCTCATGAAATTTCATTTTTCAAACATATTTTATGTATTCCAGACCAAGGACACATTTTTGTTTGAGAAATGAAATTTCATGGACATCGCGTTCTTCCGTAGGTCTGCCTTCATAATCACACGTAAAAGTTTCCAACGATTCGGTGCACCCAGTTTGGAGAAAAGTTTTATAAATATTTTAACGATTTATATACATGGAATGACCCTTTCGTATCACTTTAAGTTTCCCGACAACTTAGTTTCTTGATATATCTCGAAAAACGGCGCTTAAAACTAACGGAGACAGTTATGAAAACTTGCATATCTTAGTTTTTTTATTCCAAGCGGTAAGTAGAAATAAGCCAAATCATTCTTTTTTCTAAATTGTGCTTAACGGAATCCAACTTTCTCAATCTGCAAATGGTTCCTTTGATTTGTATATACGTGTATTCAAGTTCGAAGCAGCTCTTCACACGCAACAAAAATCTGAAAAATGAATGAGAACACGAGGGGCCGATAGTCTCGTCCGATCAAGGGTGATTTCACACCCCGCTTAAAAAAATGTACCCTAATTTCGGAATCGAAATCTCAGATCAGCTACTTCTAAGATTAAAAGTGGCTCGTGATCGCTCCTTTGTGAAGCATCCGGTAGTACCCAAAACGGAGCCTACCAATTCTTCCGCAATTAACACCCTGGTCCTATGATCACCTGAGCGCCATCGGCAGCGAATAACGACGTGGGATACTAATCGTTTACTTTGGGATCGACCTTAACGAGTCTTACTTAACGAGTGGACAATCAAGGCGCAATCTCCCGCGGATTATTCGGTATGATACATAGGTAGATACACCGGAGAGGCACTACAAAGCTGTGTATTTCGCCAATATTTGACTAAATCATGAACAATGTTTGATTGTACACCCTCGCACGTAGGAGCGCGGTCTAGTAGTCCAACTCTCGTGCGCACATGAGTACTCGCGCACACGCGCGTGGGCGCGCGTGGGCGCGCGGGTACTCGCACACGGGTCGAAGGGTGTCGGTCTACGTCCGTACGAGCCGCAACGTTCGATACGTTGGCTCCATCGGATAGGAGAGGCCGATGATAGGGCATCTCTCCCTGTACCCGCCGATCATAGGAGTGCACACCGATACGCACTCCACGTGTACGAACGTACCTTCGCACCCCCGACCATTGCCGTGTGGCGTGTAATTCGCCGCGTTATACGCCCTCCTAATACGCCATCGATATATCGGGCTCGAGATCGGCTCTCGGGCCGTGTGTTCCTATCTATTAACTGCCACGGGCCGGGAGAGGCTCGACAGGTGATTTTTGAAAATACTGCTGAAAATCAATATCACCGGACTCATATCGCTCGCCCATGCATCGGCTTATAGCGGGCGCCGGGACGCTCCGGGGTAGTACGCGGTCCTTCGTATAACACGACGTGCGTGCACGTGTGCGTCGTATGGGCAGACGGGGTGCGTACTCGTGGGGGTGAGAGCGAAATGAATGCCCTCGCACTTCCGGAAGAGTATTCTGATATCTGACATTTATGGAGTAACCGAGTAAAGGATATTGGTATCGGTGACGACTCGTAACTATTCCCAGAGGTGGGGTCGAAATCTAAAAGTCTACGGCAAAATTAAAAGGTGGCTTATCTCGTTCATTTTGTCAAATGTCCGGCAATAAATTACTTGCAGTGGTCAGAAATTAAGATATTCGATAGAAAGAACTAAAGGCGCATCTTGCCGCTCTTAGAAGACCGGGCTACTATCCGGTTGCAGTAATCGATGCATCTGGCTTGCATACATTTTGGAGCATGATCGATCGCTTGGCGTGTACATAAATTTGCAATTCGCGTTTGCGTTTATGCGAGAGTTTGATCGAGCCGCTGTAATTGGAGGAGATACCTCGAGGGTGCTTCGTATACTTATACGACGAAAATGGATTCGTTGGTCCTCTCTGTTAGAAAAACCTCCATAAATGACAATGCGGTGAATTTTAACGAGTGGTAATTATAAATATACTATTAAATTGTCGACAGATTCCAAATTTACAGAAACTTTCTTTAACGATACCGCATGCATTGACACCTATAATCGTCTTGGCTGGCGTTAAACTACAAAAGTTTGAAACCAATATATACATAAAAAAATGGCCACTCATAGATAAAGGTGATACTACGAATTACGAACTCTTTTCGAATTTTATATATATGTATATATATATATATATATATATATACAAACAGAGATACATAAATCTCTTCATAAAGCGACGCTTCTAACCGTCGACGAGTTGATTTTTCAAAGACTCCAGTATTCAGAAGAAACGGTAATGTACACCTGCAATTATCACAGGTGTCTAATATGAAACGGTTCGTTGTCCCATTACGGTCAAGAAAGTCTTAAGAGGCCCTCAATATTGAAAAACAGTAAAAAAATGTGTGAAAAGGAAGCAGGTAATGAAATCGGCATGACGTGACAGAAAGGCGTTGAAATCCTTATGGCACATGTCGGCGAAATTATGGAAAGGTATATAAACATTCAATTGCGTTTTCGAATGAAAAAATTCATGAAAATATTCATCGGCAGAACAGAAATGGGAAAAAAATGAGCAACACAGAAATTCGAATTGTCTTGAACGGGAAGACCTCGAGCTTCTAGATATACCTATGCGTCGTCGTAACGATTTCGAATCGACGACGACACGAATCATCTGCAAAGTCTGGAGGGACAGACGATGGCTCGCAATAGGATGTTCGTAACTATGGCGTTCGGACACGGTTTACTTTAGGCACGGCGAGAAATTGGAATTTTCGTTAAGGGATTAGGGAACGGTCGCGACGAGCTCCTTGTTAATTAGAATGTAATCCTTCCTCGTCTCCGTGGAATGCAGATCCCGGTGGATTCGTATAGTACGGCCATCTTTGCGGAACGTTCCTACGATTTCCCAGTTCTCGCGCCCAGGCCGGCTCTTCCTCTCTCGCTCGAATATCAAAGAAAGGATCTGGGTTGACCCAATGGAATCGCGTCGTTATGACATTTTCTCATCCATTAGGTTTTGCTCCGTTTTCCTTCCTATTGTGCCAAATGGTACCCGCCGAGCTGCCTCCTCTGGCCGAGAGCTAAGCGCCCAGCTCGAATATATCCAAAGCCCATTTTCTCGGATTGGGTGCTGTCGATAGTTTCAACGATATATTTTTTCACGTGTTTCGTATAAACATGGAGCGAGAACATTGAATTTCGTGAAAAAATGCGAAAATTAGTAAACATTGGCGTGTGGAAGGGTGATCAAAGATTCGCTTAGAAACGATATGGAACCCAATGAGTAATTGATAACGCAAAAAGAACTGAAAGACAATCATGCTGTTACTTCTATTAGTTTAATTCGATGCCGTTAGGATAATGTGTTTGTTTTGTAATCGAGTCGGTAAGTAATTGGGTACGGCCGATTGCAACGTTGGAAATGTAGAGACGTTCCTTAAATAAGTCAATCTTTTTCATGAAATACCCTGATAAAAATGCTTATATAAATTTACATACCCAATCATTGGTTATATTTATGCCACGATGAATTGCATTAAAATTACATTGCTCTGTAATATCACATTCGGCATCTGAGTTAAATTATAGAAAACTATAATGTAATATTGCATTAAACTCAAGTAAAAATGCACCAATTCGGTAAATATGCAATGTTAGGAATATTTATACATTTTCTAATTTGTAATTCTTCCATTTTACGTTTCTCTATGTGCAACTTAAGTTATGAAGTGTGTAAAAATGTATGTAAATATTCTATAGATTTTTGTCAGTGTAGGTAAATGTAAGAATCTAAACATCCTTCTAAGCTTATCTGAAACGATATCGTGAAATCTTTTAAATAAGTGCATTTAAAGAAGATCTCTGAAGTGGACTTAAAAGTCGCTGTACTTGTTCAACATTTTCCAAACTGTGATTCTAGAAACTGATGAAACTGAACACAAATGTACCCAAGGCCCCGGTCGCCAGCGTAAAAATACACGTTTAAGCAAATTTCTATACAAGTACAAATGGAGTCTGCTGTTTCGATCGATGCGCTCTCCCGGCGTTAGAAGACCTACGGCCGATGATAAAATAGGACAACGCGAAACCGGGTGACTTTTGAAAATCCTTTGGAGCTGTATCGAAAATTCA